TTGAAGGGACAGCGTTGATACGCAAGAGATTGAGAGACTAGTAATCTCTAGTCATAAGGTTGGATTTAGTGTAATCTACATGTTTGATTAATAGGACTATCTCATATAATTAAAATTGTTAGTTCATGAACTTATAATCTCTTGTTTAATTATAAATTTTATTAATCGAAATATATGTACGACGAACATTCAATCTGATAAAATTAACCAATTTTTAATATTAAGAGGGATTAGAGATCATAATTTCAGGTATTAAACCAAAAAAAAACAAAATAAATACATAATAAATGATTATTTCAGTAATTTGATTGAATAATTAATCATATATTAATTCATGAGATTATTAATTCTTTCACTATTAATCAAATAAAGATAAATGATGAGTCTAAATACGAAACTTGTTTATTGTTACATTAATTGCACCGTTTTACGTGTCATAGTAGATGTTTTACAATTTTTTTTAATAGTTTATTTTCCTTTTATTTGACGGAGGTGAATCAACTAAATAGAATTGGAATATAAGTTAAGTTAATAAAGGAAAAACTAGTAAAAATCCATGTAGTTCACATGTAATTATGTTTTTGCATACACTTGTAAGAGATTATGGTGAGCGAGTTATTTTCCTCAATCCTACATTACAAATCCCGATAGGAAATCAAATCCTTCAGTGAGTGCTAGTTGTATGGCCACCTCGTAATTTGAACACAGTGACTATTTTATATATTTATTTGTTTAATTAGTAGTTGCTCAATAATATTAAAGGTTATTTTAAAAAGATAGTAAAAAGTTAATTTTTTGATTTTTTTAATTTTTTTTAAAAAAAATGTATAAAAAATATGAGAGATGATATAATCCAAAATGAATTAAAAGCTAACTTCTGGTTACTAATCCCAATAATTTTTTGAGCTCCGATTTGACATTTGTTGCGGGACTAGATAATCACATATGGACAAAAAAAAGTTACAAAATTATAAAATGCCAAAACACTTGAGTTGGGATGCAAAATTATCAAATTGACCCATATACAAACAAAAAGTCAAAAAAAATCATTTCCAAGTCGGGGGCAATTTTGTCATTTCACTTTGGGAACATCATTTCCAATGCAAAAAAGTCTAAAAAGCCAAACTAGAAAACCAAACAAATAAAAAAGTCTCAGGCTAAAAAAATTAAAAAATACTAAAAAATTAACTAAAAAAGTCATTGCCAAACAAACCCTCAATTTCATTGCATTATACTTCATGTATTGGGATGTTGTTTGTGGAAGTAAGATTGAAGCCATTGTACGAGTGAAATGATGGATACTTTAATAAGGTTTTTAAAAAACAATTATAAATTAATAAAAAAAATTATGAGTATTTGCTTAGAAGGATTGAAAGAGAGATTGAACTCCAATTTATGGAGTCTATTGTTGGGTTGCGAATTACTAGGCAAGAGTCCAAGCCGGGGCTAAATTAGTTACGTCCGGACAAAAAAGGCTAATTTAGCCAAATGGAGACAAAACAGAAATCACGGGTTGGGTTCAAACCCTTATTGGGGTAAATTTACCAAAATACCCTGACTGTTCCCTCTGAGTCTGAGGCCCAACGCCTCACCACACACACAACCTTTCTAGGGCACACAACAAGCGAAGGAGGCGATTAATGTATACTAGCGGCAACGACATCTGAGGCAGCTTCGCAGAGGCGATCGGCACCGGAGTACGCATTTGCGGCCTCAAAGAAGACTTACAAACAGGTCGGCAAATCGAACGGTTGGGGCGTACGTTGGCGGCGGCGAACAAGAACGAACCCTCTCAAACACCACCGATCTTCAGGTAATGCTTTATGGCAGTTCTGATTTCGTTTCCCTTTTCGCGTAAATCCGTCCCCTGCTTCCGATCTGCTTAGGGTTCATGTGTGGAATCCCTTTCTCTGTTAAAGACATTTTTTTCAAATTTCAAAGAAAGTGTGGACTCTGTGTTTTGAATATCCTGTGGGTTCATTACGGTTAAATTAAGTTGACACATTTTGGGTTCATTACGGGTTGGGTTCATTACCGATCTGTTTGTTTACCGTGGTGCTTGGGTTCATTACGGTTTCACACATTTTGGGCAGATATATATATAGATCAACCCATGGTAAAGATTTAAAAATAGATACATATGGCATTACCTCAACAACCTGTTCTTATACATCTGTTGAGATTCTTAAAACAATCTGTCTTCATTCGAGAAACAGAAACATGTACATGAGGGCAGAGATATATAAATTTGTTCTTATATATATATAGATCAACCCATGGTAAAGATTTAAAAATAGATACATATGGCATTACCTCAACAACCTGTTCTTATACATCTGTTGAGATTCTTAAAACAATCTGTCTTCATTCGAGAAACAGAAACATGTACATGAGGGCAGAGATATATAAATTTGTTCTTATATATATATAGATCAACCCATGGTAAAGATTTAAAAATAGATACATATGGCATTACCTCAACAACCTGTTCTTATACATCTGTTGAGATTCTTAAAACAATCTGTCTTCATTCGAGAAACAGAAACATGTACATGAGGGCAGAGATATATAAATTTGTTCTTATATATATATAGATCAACCCATGGTAAAGATTTAAAAATAGATACATATGGCATTACCTCAACAACCTGTTCTTATACATCTGTTGAGATTCTTAAAACAATCTGTCTTCATTCGAGAAACAGAAACATGTACATGAGGGCAGAGATATATAAATTTGTTCTTATATATATATAGATCAACCCATGGTAAAGATTTAAAAATAGATACATATGGCATTACCTCAACAACCTGTTCTTATACATCTGTTGAGATTCTTAAAACAATCTGTCTTCATTCGAGAAACAGAAACATGTACATGAGGGCAGAGATATATAAATTTGTTCTTATATATATATAGATCAACCCATGGTAAAGATTTAAAAATAGATACATATGGCATTACCTCAACAACCTGTTCTTATACATCTGTTGAGATTCTTAAAACAATCTGTCTTCATTCGAGAAACAGAAACATGTACATGAGGGCAGAGATATATAAATTTGTTCTTATATATATATAGATCAACCCATGGTAAAAATTTAAACACAGATACATATGAAGAACCTTAACAACCTGTTCTTATACATCTGTTGTTCTTATACATCTGTTGAGATTCTTAAAACAATCTGTCTTCATTCGAGAAACAGAAACATGTACATGAGGGCAGAGATATATAAATTTGTTCTTATATATATATAGATCAACCCATGGTAAAAATTTAAAAACAGATACATATGGCATTACCTCAACAACCTGTTCTTATACATCTGTTGAGATTCTTAAAACAATTTGTCTTCATTTAAGAAACAGAAACATGGACATGAGGGTAGATATATGTAAATCTGTTCTTATATATATATATATATATATAGATTAACCCATGGTAAAAATTTATAAACATATACATAAAATAATAGTGGAAGTATTAAGACTTTTGAAAAAGGTGATCAATATAATAGTATAAAATCTCATTCTGATCATCTTACGCCACTACATAAACAATGCTTGGATGATCCTCGGCAAAGGAATTTGTAATATAATATTGGTGACAAAAATTCCAATAATAATTTATACATGTAAGACTCATGTAGGTAATACCCAATTTAACATTTTATAGGATTTCGTACAGAATTTCGTAATCTATATAGATTACGGAATAAATTTATATGAACAATCATACACAGTTAATTTTATTTAATAAAATAAAAATTATGATAAATCACGAACACATGTTCCGATACAATATGTAAATAATTTTATAATATTATGTATAATTTAAAATCGTGAATTGTCATGATCTTTACAAATAACTTTCATTTGACATAAGTTAAAATTGTATTTTTTTTGGCTAAAATAGTCACAAAAAAACAAAATAAGTTTTTTAACACAAAATGTCACATCTAAATCATAATAATTTTATTTTTTCTCTCACAAAATTCAAAAAAGCTAAAAAACCTATCTCAAACAAGACTTTTTAGCTCCAGGCTAAAATAGCCAAAAAGTCAATCCACATCACAAATGAACCATGTATATTTATAACCGCATCTGTTATGCGAAACCTATGAGTGATCTAAAATTGATTGAATATAAACCTAATATCAATATCAGTGAAAAATATTTGACTTTCTTTAGAATACCTTATATATCTAAAATGATTTGATGGGTAATTTGAATGTCTTTTTATAGACAGAGGAAGGACTAGTTTTTTTATTCAACTCTAACTCTACGTGCCCATTAAGGCAGGAGACTTGAAAACCACTCTTCTTATTGACCAATCAGATGGAACCCTATAGCTAAAGCTATGGAACCAAAATTGTTAAATCTCTGATTCATTTTGCCACATTGTGTGTTTTACCATGTCCTTGTTTGGGAAGAAGATTGGATTAAAATAACCTATTAAAAGATAAAATATGTTAAAATAGTCAATAAGATAAAATGACCTAATTTGAGAACTTGACTAAAACCTAATAGTCAACTTTTAATTTATTTTGGGTTACATTACCTCTTTATTTTTTTTACACATTTTTTTCAAAAAAAAATTTAAAAAAATGCCAAAAGTCTAGCATCTGGTGTTAAAAACATCGTTTAGAATGAACTTTTGACTTTTTTAACATCTACGAGAGAAAAAAATAAAATAAATATAATTAAATATGACATTTTACCATATTAATTTTTTTATTTTTTTATAACTATTTTAACTGTATAGCCCTTCAGCCCACATGTGAAAAGAGAGCTTTGTAATATGATTTTTATTTATGCCGGTGGAAGCACATCACATCACCCCACCTTATGGTCCAAACCGTCATTATTATTTTTGAATAAAATAAAATTATTCGATTAAGATTATAGCTCATTCATTTGTTGAAAAATAATGGGTATTGATTCATGCTTAGAATTTGTTGGATTTGGGCTTTAGGCTTTAGGCTTTCGGCTTTAGGCTTTAGGCTTTAGGCCTGGCATTATGAGATTAATTCGGATGTTGAGTGTTGGAGTTATTTAAATTTGGGATTTAGGCCCGTAGTGGGCAAATATGCTACAATTTCGGTCCAATAAGCTTGAAGGGACAGCGTTGATACGCAAGAGATTGAGAGACTAGTAATCTCTAGTCATAAGGTTGGATTTAGTGTAATCTACATGTTTGATTAATAGGAGTATCTCATATAATTAAAATTGTTAGTTCATGAACTTATAATCTCTTGTTTAATTATAAATTTTATTAATCGAAATATATGTACGATGAACATTCAATCTGATAAAATTAACCAATTTTTAATATTAAGAGGGATTAGAGATCATAATTTCAGGTATTAAACCAAAAAAAAACAAAATAAATACATAATAAATGATTATTTCAGTAATTTGATTGAATAATTAATCATATATTAATTCATGAGATTATTAATTCTTTCACTATTAATCAAATAAAGATAAATGATGAGTCTAAATACGAAACTTGTTTATTGTTACATTAATTGCACCGTTTTACGTGTCATATTAGATGTTTTACATTTTTTTTAATAGTTTATTTTCCTTTTATTTGACGGAGGTGAATCAACTTAATAGAATTGGAATATAAGTTAAGTTAATAAAGGAAAAACTAGTAAAAATCCATGTAGTTCACATGTAATTATGTTTTTGCGTACACTTGTAAGAGATTATGGTGAGCGAGTTATTTTCCTCAATTCTACATTACAAATCCCGATAGGAAATCAAATACTTGAGTGAGTGCTAGTTGTATGGCCACCTCGTAATTTGAACACAGTGACTATTTTATATATTTATTTGTTTAATTAGTGGTTGCTCAATAATATTTAGGGTTATTTTAAAAAGATAGTAAAAAGTTAATTTTTTTATTTTTTTAATTTTTTTTTAAAAAACATATAAAAAATATGAGAGATGATATAACCCAAAATGAATTAAAAACTAATTTCTGGTTACTAATCCCAATAATTTTTTGAGCTCTGATTTGACATTTGTTGCGGGACTAGATAATCACATATGGACAAAAAAAAAAGTTACAAAATTATAAAATGTCAAAACACTTGAGTTGGGATGCAAAATTATCAAATTGACCCATATACAAACAAAAAGTCAAAAAAAATCATTTCCAAGTGGGGGCCATTTTGTCATTTCACTTTGGGAACATCATTTCCAATGCAAAAAAGTCAAAAAAGCCAAACTAGAAAACCAAACAAATAAAAAAGTCTCAGGCTAAAAAAATAAAAAAATACTAAAAAATTAACTAAAAAAGTCATTGCCAAACAAACCCTCAATTTCGTTGCATTATACTTCATGTATTGGGATGTTGTTTGTGGAAGTAAGATTGAAGCCATTGTACGAGTGAAATGATGGATACTTTAATAAGGTTTTTAAAAAACAATTATAAATTAATAAAAAAAATTATGAGTATTTGCTTAGAAGGATTAAAAGAGAGATTGAACTCCAATTTATGGAGTCTATTGTTGGGTTGCGAATTACTAGGCAAGAGTCCACTAGACCATAGATTCTATACCTGTGTTTGGGAAGGCAAGCCGGGGCTAAATTAGTTACGTCCGGACAAAAAAGGCTAATTTAGCCAAATGGAGACAAAACAGAAATCACGGGTTGGGTTCAAACCCTTATTGGGGTAAATTTACCAAAATACCCTGACTGTTCCCTCTGAGTCTGAGGCCCAACGCCTCACCACACACACAACCTTTCTAGGGCACACAACAAGCGAAGGAGGCGATTAGTGTATACCAGCGACAACGACATCTGAGGCAGCTTCGCAGAGGCGATCGACACCGGAGTACGCATTTGCGGCCTCAAAGAAGACTTACAAATAGGTCGGCAAATCGAACGGTTGGGGCGTACGTTGGCGGCGGCGAACAAGAACGAACCCTCTCAAACACCACCGATCTTCAGGTAATGCTTTATGGCAGTTCTGATTTCGTTTCCCTTTTCGTGTAAATCCGTCCCCTGCTTCCGATCTGCTTAGGGTTCATGTGTGGAATCCCTTTCTCTGTTAAAGACAAATGTTTTTCAAATTTCAAAGAAAGTGTGGACTCTGTGTTTTGAATATCCTGTGGGTTCATTACGGTTAAATTAAGTTGACACATTTTGGGTTCATTACGGGTTGGGTTCATTACCGATCTGTTTGTTTACCGTAGTGCTTGGGTTCATTACGGTTTCACACATTTTGGGCAGATATATATATAGATCAACCCATGGTAAAGATTTAAAAATAGATACATATGGCATTACCTCAACAACCTGTTCTTATACATCTGTTGAGATTCTTAAAACAATTTGTCTTCATTTAAGAAACAGAAACATGGACATGAGGGCAGATATATGTAAATCTGTTCTTATATATATATATATATAGATTAACCCATGGTAAAAATTTAAAAACAGATACATATGAAGAACCTTAACAACTTGTTCTTATACATTTGTTGAGATTCTTAAAACAATCTGTCTTCATTCGAGAAACAGAAACATGTACATGAGGGCAGAGATATATAAATTTGTTCTTATATATATATAGATCAACCCATGGTAAAAATTTAAACACAGATACATATGAAGAACCTTAACAACCTGTTCTTATACATCTGTTGTTCTTATACATCTGTTGAGATTCTTAAAACAATCTGTCTTCATTTGAGAAACAGAAACATGTACATCTTATTCATTAATAAAGAAATCTATTCTTCAGTTGTTGTTATACAAATGTAAGGGAAGTAAATTAAAAAAGAATGAACATATACATCTGTTTGGGGGATAAATGCATGATCAATCTACGCTGTAAACTGCCAAATCGGACAATTTTGGTGAAGTAGTTTATTCTTTTTGGAACTTCTTGTGTGGGAATTTAAACATATCCAACAATTTATGCTTCTGTTCACCCAATCTGAAGCCTTTGCACTTACTCGACGCAAATTCATAGGAAGCACACGGTGTTCATGGCTTTGTATTATTATTAATGTTTGCATTATTATTATTGGTTTGGGGTTGTATATCTCCAATGTCTGCTAGTGCATATGGATAAAAGAACGTGGATGAATAACATAAAATAGAAATAAGCCAAAATCGATTTTTAAAACTTAATTAACAACAATAAAAATTGATTTTCACAAATTTAATTTGAAAAGAAGTTTACCACTGTAATACATGTGGATGAATAATAATTTCCAAAAATAACTTTTATTAATGGTTACCTAGCACCTTCGTATTTCTACGTTACCATTTTCATTCATGTACTTCTAATTGATTTACTTTGATCACGAATGTATAATTTGTAATTAATTGATTTTGCCATGACATGAATTCTTAATTTGATAATGTAAACACACGGTGTTCGTTACTATGTTCCATATATTATTATTGTTTTTTTTTTGGGTATGTTTATATCCCATGTGTGCAACTACATATGGGTTAATAAATAAGTTCACCACTATACAAAGGTATGGATGAATACTACTTTCACAAAATCAATTTCATTAATGAAATCAAATTACGACAGTAGATTTGTACATAATCATTTTGATTCTTGTAAATTTAATTGAATTCTAATTTGATTATGAATTTATAATTTACATAAAATTGGCTTAATTTGAAAACTTATTCTTAATTTGATTCATGTAAACACACGGTGTTCATGCCTTTTTTATCTGTTAGGTTTGAAAAGGAATTTAGAGATTTACCTTTCTATTGAGATTCTTAGACAATGAAACCATAATTTGTAGGGTGCAGTACGGTTAATATTAAATGAATGAAATAATAAGTTTGTATACCCATCATATGAAATTTGTGCATCAGCGTGTTCATTTCATGTTTAACCTGAAGTATGGATATCATAAACTAATGACTACTATGATTCATTGTTACTTTCGAATGTTTGTCGTTCATAGCATAGCTTCGTTTACCTCTAGTGCAACTTCCAGTACATGGCCACGCCGAATGTGTGCCTGTGGACATGGCCCCTGTATTGTTAAGATTTCAAGGTCCACCAAAAACCCAGGGCATCCCTACTTTGCATGTCCCCGCCTTGTGGTGAGTGCCCAATTCATTATCGGTCATAACTACATGAACATTAAGAACCCGTTCACTAATAATTTCATCATTTGCACTTGTTAGCCCTATGTCAGTTGGATTGGTTGGTGCGAAGAACCAAGGCGAGAGAGCACGGACTATACGTCATCCAGAGACGCAATTGTCATGCAATTACGGGATGATGTCATACACATTCAACATTCCTTGCGTGTCGTGAAGACCATTGTCTATGTGCTATGCATTGTCGTTGTCATTTTGTTGTTGCGTATGTAAGCAACATTAGGATGTTGGTAGTATGTACAACCAAGTTACGAGGTTATTAGTATGTTAGTAGTATGTTTTAGTATGACTATAATCTTGCTTTGCGTTCCTCCACTAGGAAAGGTTATTGGTATTAATGACTATCATACCTATGTGCATCGCGCAGTTCCATGTTTCTTTATTTATGTTACTAATGTGCAATGGTTATATGATGTCTAATTTAGCATCCTATTTATCTATTTATTGTTCATGGGCATAGATTCTTCCATAATGCAACCAATTTAAATTATTCTGCTATCGGCTTATACGTTTGTATGTAACAACCACATATAATCATGTGACCTTTTGTAAGCGTACATTCGTAATGGCTTCCATACGTACTTTGCCGCGTACTCAATCCAAAAGCAAAGGCATTGTCATAGAGAAGTCAAGTAGTCTTGAAGAGACACAGACTCAGTTCAGCCACAAGGCCTCATGGGACAATGACTCAATCCGAGTTTTCCTGCAATTGATTGCAAATGAGATTACAAAAGGAAACCGACCATTCCTAGTCCTTAGCCGAGCTGGGTACAAGTCGTTGGCCAGGAAATTTGAGAAAAAAACAGAAAGAAAACATGGCCTCAAACAGTTGAAGAATAAATACATGAGTTTGAAAAAAGAGTGGCAAACGTGGACAAAGTTGATGGATTCAAGCAAAGGAGTGTCAGGGATAAGGTTTGACTGTGACACCGGTATGTTTCAAGCACCTGAGGAGTGGTGGGACAAGATGGAATCGGTAAGTACATGTACAAACAAGTTTAATATTTGTCTGTTACCAGTACATTTTTAACCATTTTAATTAACTTTTAATTAATTATATGAAATGTAACGTCTTTCTCTTTCATATATCTCCCTTTCTGCAGATAAACAAGGTGTGTGCCAAGTTCAGGAAAAAAATCTTGGAACATCGTGACTTGATGGAGACGATCTTCATGGGGGCATCAGCTACTGGTTAGCACCATTGGACCCCGGGAGAGAAACTTCCTGAAGCTGCTGATAACTCATCTGATTCTGTGCATAGTTTGGGAGCCCAGCCATTTGCTGATCCGATACCTGCAGGAGTACAGGACGTGGATTTAGATTCTTCACTGGAGCCTGTTTCGATTGAAAAGGGAAAAAGGAGAAAGACGCCATCAACAAGTGTTTCAAAGTCGAAGAAGGTAACAAGTGAAGCGTCAGTTATTGCGGAAAGCATGAACAATCTAACAGATGTGGTGCGTACGAAGAATCAGCAGGTTATGGTGAGGCACCTCACAGGCAACGAATCGATGCACACTATTTCGGAGTGCATGCATCGCCTGACGACTATTCCATCCCTAATTGGTACATTGCTATTCCATTTCACCTCGACACTTATGGACAATGCAGATTACCGAAGGTGATGATGTGCCAGCGTGATGACGACCACATCATAGGGTGGCTTACACAAAAGCAGCTCTAGTGTACTGCGTCGGCACCGTTTGCGAACCTGTTTGGGGCTCGCCGGATGTGATGTAGCGGTGTTAGGATTGTTGAAGATGCTTGCCCTTCTCTTGCTTTTGAAAACTTTTACTTATGTTATTGTTGGCACTGTATTGAAACAGGATGGTTGTGTTTGCATGTTTTTATTCCTTCCTTGTTGTTTTTTTTTCTTGCTAGCTATGGTGAACAAAACTTTTAGTTAAGTTTGTCGTAGATAGAATGGAAGCATGGTTGTGCGTTTTTTGGGAAAGGAATGTGATGCTTCTGTTTTAATTGAATGTATGGCAATGAAATGCGCAACGACGATTTTCTTGCTAGCTTTCGTATGTCTTTATTTTGCGAGGAAAACTATTATGTTAGTTTGACGTCAATTTTTGTGGTTGTTACCACCATGGTCCCCCCTGTAAACAATAACGACCATGTTCACAATTTGTTCAATTCATATCATGATGCGTTAGTAATGACATCGGTGACGGCATTACTTACATTAAAAACAATGTCGACATTCTGTAATTGCAAACTGTTATTACATTTGAGTCAATGAATCACGTGAAAACTGATTGAAATAGTGCCACTCTTGTAGGTTTCGCATTAACGAAGACGTGATGAATCCCTGGGATGGAAGCAACAATGACGATTTAAGGGAAATGCTTAATCAAATGGCCGTACAGCTGCAACAAGAAAACAACTGGACATTTCTACAAGCATGCCAGTATACGACAGAGTGGTACGAAAAACACATGGCTAAAACGCCATGTCGCACTTCGATATTGACCGGGCATGCATGGATATGCAAACTATATGCGGGCCATATGGGTCGATTTGAGGAAAATGTTTACATGGCGAAGGAAGTTTTTGCTGCTTTGTGTGAGACATTGGTAAATGATTTTGGGTTACAAGTACGGCAACGTCCACATGGCTTAGCTGTTGAAGAAAGCGTTGCAATGTTTATCCATGTGTTGCAAAGGATGCAAAATCGGCAAATCCAAGAACGTTTCCAACATTCAGGGGAGACTGTGTCTCGGCACCTGCATAACGTATTAACTTCTATGAAAGAGTTCACTGTTGTTCATTGCCGGCGCACATACAATCAGCATCGTATACATCTATACGTGCGGTCTAAATATAAATACCTACCGTTCAAGGTACTACTGAAAAACATTATTGACATATAAGTGCGAAGTGAAGTTATTTTGTTTTTATTATTAACTGGATGTGACGTATGAAAATAACCATTACTTGTTACCCGTTTAAGTAACAATACAATTGGGTTGTTTGCAGGACTGCATTGGAGCAATAGACGGAACACATGTAAGTGCATGGGTTACGGGGCCAGATGGGGCAACATATTTTGGTAGGAAATACTGTCACACGCAAAATATCATGGCCGCGTGCGATTTTGGCATGTGTTTCATCTTCATTTCGTGCGGATGGAAAGGAAGTATGCATGATAGTCGCATCTTTAACGAGATACTAACAAATAACAATGTCCCATTTCCATATCTTGAAAAAGGTAACACAGTGCCATGAATTCTGAATTGATTGGGCTATAATTTTTTGTCAAATAGCGTTACTTGAAAATGAAGCACAATGTTTGTTTTTGGTGTCATACATTGTTGTCCTGTTTGCAGGCAAATATTATCTTGTCGATTCTGGCTATCCAAACCGGATAGGTTACCTAGCACCATTCAAAGGCAGCCGTTACCACCAATAAGAATTCCGACGTACTCAACGGAACAGGACGGCAAACATGCCAAGGGAATTATTTAACAAAGTTCACTCGTCGTTACGCAGTGTGGAGGAATGCACTTTCGGTGCCTGGAAAAATCGATGGGGGTTTATTCGTGACATGCCTCGGTATGACTTTGTAAATGTGCAAGTTCAGTTAGTAGGTGCGTCAATGGCATTACATAATTATATACGGCGAAACACAGGTAATCCAACAACTGTTCACCCAATCTGTGACGAAGAAGAGGCTATGACAATAGTAAATGCCATACCAGAAGTTGAACACGACGATGATGGTTTAATGGTTGGGGATGAGGACTTGCATATGGCATTGGTGCACCTTCGCATACGCAACAAGTTATGTTACTTGCGTAATAACAGAACATTAGGAAATATATAATAGTCGACCTAATTTTCGTAGGGTTGTAACATTGGTAACACACGTGGAACAGATTGTATTCAAATATATTATCATGTACAATATGTATGTGTTTACACGGGAATATAACCCCTTTCAGTTCGTGACGTGCCTAACTTTGAAAAACCAAAAACCATAGAAAAAAGCCTTTTCGAAAAAGAAAACAAGGTGAAACAAATAAGAAAAATAAATTCAAAAAACTAATACATAAATTATCATGTGCGACGTCAATTAAAAACATAAAAATACCAGTTGAAAACAACAGAAAACCAAAATAGACCTCATTTTTTGGTCATGTGCCACAGCAATATATGAATTTTCACATCATTTTAAATAAATGACATGAAAATACATTTTTCCCAAAAAACCAAACAAATTAAAAACAAAGTAAAAAATAAAAAAATATAAAAGTTAAAAACATGAATTACCAGTTGCCACATAATTTAAAAATAAGGAAAACACATGAAAACCATTTGTGAAAACTAAAAACAAATTAATGTATACAAATTAAAAAAAATTGACAAAAGCGTAAATGAAAAAAAAAGAACCACAAAAATAAGTTTCATCAAACAAACAAACAAAAAAACAAAAAAGAAATTTGCAAACAGAAATTAGCATTTGCCACGTAATTTGGAAAAAAAAATAAAGAACATGAAAACCCATTATTCAAAAACAAAAACAAATTAATGTATACAAATAAAAAAAGTTGACAAAAACGTAAATTTAAAAAAAAGAACGACAAAGTTTACGGCTCATCCAAAAAAATAAAAAATAAAAACATAAAAAGAGAAATTAGCATTTGCCACGTAATTTACAAATAAATAAAACACATGAAAACCCATTTGTCAAATATAAAAACAAATTAATGTATACAAATAAAAAAAAACATTACAAAAACGTAAATTAAAAAAAAATGACAAAAATACGCCTCATCAAAAAAAAAAAAAAAAATCAGAAATTAGCATTTGTCACATAATTTACAAATAAATAAAACACATGAAAATCCATTTTTGAAATATAAAAACAAATTAATGTGTACAAATAAAAAAATGACAAAAACGTAAATTAAAAAAAAAAATAACGACAAAAATACGCCTCATTCAAAAACATTTGAAAAAAAAAACATAAAAACATAAATTACCATTCGCCACGTAATTTACAAATAAATAAAACACATGAAAACTCATTTTTGAAAAATGAAAAAAAGTTATTGTATACTAATAAAAATAAATAAGACAAAAAACGTAAATTAAAGAACAAGAAGTAATTAATGTATAAAAAAAGAAAAATGACAAAAACATAAATTTTTTTTAAAAAAAAAAATCAAAATATGCCAAATCCAAACCTCAAAAAAACACAAAAAAAAAAAAAAAAAACAATTTCGGTCTAAACAATCTGACGTGGAGGACCACCAGCAATGAGTTGACATGTAAAACACAGTTGAAGGGCAGTTTGGTAATTTAACATGAAGATACCTTACCAAAAAGTCAAAAAAACTAAAAAACTCTTCCCAAACCAGGGTTTTTAGCCTCATACTAAAATAGCCAAAAAAGTCAAAATGTCAAAAAGCCAACCCACTTCCCAAACGAAGGCTATATATGCTAAATTATTGTGTCTTAGCAAATATGGGATGGAAATGGTGAGATTGGTATCTCATGCGGATTAAGTTGTAAAATAACATATTTACCTTCCAAATATTTGATTTGATTTGATTTGATTGTGTATTATATTTAATAAAATAAAATAAAGAATTTAGTTAACGAGTGCCCTAATGACATTAGTTAACCATGTTTAAATCAATTGTACATTACATCTTACATGTACTCACATGCATTATGTACAAGTATCTCAAATTTCTTATCAAGTACCTTGAGGAGAATCATCAACAAAACTCTAAAATAAAATATACAAAGCTCAATTAAAAAATAAAATAAAATAAATTTAATTAATTTTAATTTGAAGAAATTAGTGAAACATTTCTCTTAAACTTTGGATAGTAGGAGGGATCCAATATGTTTTTTTTTCAGATAAAGTTCTTCGATGAAATTTCTTTGTGATCATACCAGAGAAATATTTATCGGTGAAATTAGAGAAATTTTTAAAAATTTTCGGTGTCTCGATAAAATTTCTCCGTGTCGAATTTTCTTCATGAAAATGTTGAGAGATTCCAATTACTATAAAAATATTATATATTGTTTATTTTATAAAATTTTAATATCGACCTTAAAAAAAGTTTCCCTTTTTATTGATGTTTATTAATTTAATTTTTTTAATAAATTTTTATAGATGTTTTATTTTAAATTTTTGTTGATATTTTATTTAATTTCATTATTTAATATTTTTATATTAAAAAATAAAAATATTAAATAATAATATAAATTTATTTAAAATTTTATTTTAAATAAAAACATAAATTTTTATTGATGTTTTTATTTATTTAATTAAAAAATTATTTATTTAATTTTCAAAAATAAAATTAAATAATTTTTTATTTAATCTAGCTAAAAAAATTAAAATATTAAAGACACATTCAGTATTGCTATTATTAGTAAACAATTGGAAATGGCAAAATAGTTTATTGAGTATTTATCGTTCTTCATACTATTCCAATCAAATATTGGATTTAATAAGATAATTATTTGCAGACAATTTAATCATATGAGAAAACAAACATAATGTACACATCATTTCTATCCAAATAGCTCAAGGACTATATATCTTAGGATCAAGTTTAGTAGATTATAATCTCCCTTAGAATTCCACTTTTTTGCTCAGAAAAGGTCACACTTTTTTTTTTTTAAACAAACAAAATAAAAAATAGAAAAAAATGTTTAGTGTCTTAAATTAAAACAAACTACAAAACTGTCAAAAAAAAAAAAAAAAAAACCACCTTTTAGCCTCATAAAACTCGTTTTTTACAAATCGTCATTTGAATTAGGCTAGGTTTGGGAAGTAAGTTTAGACTAAAATAATCATATAGGATAAAATTGACTATTTTAGTTAAATAAGACAAAATATCACATCCAATTTATAATCATTTTATTTTTTCTCTCACAAAATTCAAAAAAAACCAAAAAATCTATCCCAAACGAGACTTTTTAACCTCGGGCTAAAAAAATTAAAAAGTCAAGTTATAAAGGTTTCGTTTGGGAAGAAAATGCCCAGGACTTTTTGGCTATTTTAGCCTCAAAAAAATAAAATAGGTTCTTTAGTCTAATAAGACAAAATATCACATCCAACTCATAATCATTATATTTTTTCTCTTGCAAAGTTAAAAAAATCAAAAAATTCATCCCAAATAAATTTTTTTAGCCCCAAACTAGAATAGTAAAAAAAAACTAAAAAATCAAATCCACATTCCAAATGAATCAAATATTATAAAAGGTCTTAGACCTTTTTCGATAAATAAACAAGCATATGATTGGCTTTTGACACATAACAAATCACATACTTTGCAAACTAGTTTCTGTTTGTTTCAACCTAAAATATTTTATATAAAAAATTATTTTTATTTTTATTTTTCAATATTTGTTTGACACTTAAAATAAAAATATTTTATTACCAAAAAGAGAAATTTTGATTCAATAAAATGACATTTATAATTTTTTAGCGAGTTAAGATTCTTATTTGAAAAGACTAATACGTTGAAAATATAGTGAATGAGATTCAATTTTGTAAAAATTGACTTACGGAATTTTTTAAAGTAAGTCCTTTTAAAAAAATGATACAAAATATTTTCTTTAAAAAATATTTTATTTACTTTTTATTTAACTAAATAACAAAAAAATAAGTAAAAATATTTCACGTCAGCATAAACAAAGCATTAGTGAGAATGGTCGAGGAAACGTTTTGGGAATGTTAAAAAGAACACAAGTTGAGTTTTTATTAAATAATCATGTGTAAGTTATTTAGTTTTTGTCTAATTAGCAAGTTTCATGGGATGGGGCGAAAAAAAAAACAAAAGGCGCTCAAACTCTTCGTTAGGGACGAGTCTTATACTTGTTAATTGATTCATCTACCTTGTACTTAATTTTCTGGACCTACTTGTTTTGTTAATGTACTTGCAACCCTTTGTTTGTTGTTTTCTTTCTGATGTAACTAAAAAAAAAAAAAAAAATTTTCAACCCATTGCACGATCAATGGGCCTTTTTTTTTGGACATCATTCTGGTAAAAAAAAAAAAAAAACTTACAGCCGCTATTGCGCGATTAATGGGCCTTTTTTTTGGACATCATTCTTCTAATTCAAACTGTTCTTTTTTAAAAGACATCGAGTAGAACATGTCTGTAAAAGTTCAAGTTAATCAGATATCGATATCATTTTCATTAAGTCATGTTTATATTCAGCTTTTTTCGATTAACTTAAATTTTTTGCAGGCATGTTCTACTCGATATTTTTTAAAAAGTGAATGATATGTGGCCTGAAAAAGGTTACATTGACAGCGCAACAATGACTGTTGTGCATAGTACGCAGTAGCCCCTCTAATCCCATTTCTAATACATTAGTGTCATGTTATTTTTAATATAACTTTTAATTCCTGAACCATTATAATGTTCAACATTTGTATATAGACAAAGAAAAAAAAAAGGGCAAATTACATATACCTCCCTCGAGGTTTAGCTAAATTACAGATACCCCCTCTAAAGTTTTGAAAATTACAGATACCCCCCTGTGGTTTATATTTTCATAACAAATTGTCCCATGAGGTTTATATTTTCATAACAATTTGCCCCCTAATTTGTTATGCAAATAGTACCTTCAGGGAGGTATCTGTAATTTCTCAAACCCCAGGGAAGTATCTGTAATTTTGCTAAACCTCGAGAGGGGTATATGTAATTTGCCCAAAAAAAAAATTATGAACTTGATCCACCAATTCAACAATAAAAATATGATTCTTTATTTATTTATTTTGGGACAAAAGGGGGTTGAAACCTAAACAAAAACAAAACTAAAAAGAAGGAACATGCAAGGAACCAAAACACTGGGCATCCGTTGCTAAAATATGGTGTTTTTTGTTTTTGTTTTGTTTTGTTTTGTTTTGTTTTTTTTTTTTTTTTACCATGTATAGCTCAAACAAGTCATAGTTTTTTTTAATGATTTTTTTGGAAAATTATTTAGACTGTGTTTGGTTGCATTCTCAAACTATATTTTCATCCATACATTTACGCATCACGTTTGGATAGAATTTTCAAATCATAATTCCACCATACAATTCAAAATATATCTCCACTTCCCGTTTGGCAGATTTCTCCCTCCGTTTCTCCACTGTAAAAGCTCCCAACGGTACATCTCTATGTCTTCGATATTCTCTATTTCGAAAAAGCTTCATGTGAAAGAAAATTAAAGCTGAACTTCTGAAAAGCTTCACCGCAAACAAATTTAAAACTAAACTTTACAAGTCCTCTTCCTC